GTCCCTTGGACTGCAAGGAGATTCAACCAGTGCATCCTAAAGGAGATCAGTCCTGGGTGTTCATTGGAAGGACTGATGCTGAAGCTGAAGCTCCAATACTCTCGCTTTTTTGATGACCCAATGGATGCTGGCAATTTGATCTCTGGTTCCTCTGCCTTTTCTAATTCCAGCTTCAACATCTGGAAGCCCACGGTTCATGTACTGTTGAAGCCTGCCTTGGAGAATTTTGAGCATTAGTTTACTAGTCTGTGAGATGAGTGCAATTGTGTGGTAGTTTGAACATTCTTTGGCATTGCCTTTCTTTGGGATTGGAGTGAAAACTGACCTGTTCTAGTCCTGTGGCCACTGTTGAGTTTTCCAAATTTGCTGGCATATTGAGTTCAGCACTTTCACAGCATCATCTTTCAGGATTTGAAATAGCTCTACTGGGATTCCATCACCTCCACTAGCTTTGTTTGGAGTGATGCTTCATAAGGCCCACTTGACTTCACATTCCAGGATGTCTGGCTCTAGGTGAGTGATCACTCCATTGTGATTATCTGGGTCGTGAAGATCTTTTTTGTACAGTTCTTCTGTGTATTCTTGCCACCTCTTCTTAATATCTTCTGCTTCTGTTAGGTCCATACCATTTCTGGCCTTTATTGAGCCCATGTTTGCATGAAATGTTCCCTTGGTATCTCTGACTTTCTTGAAGAGATCTCTAGTCTTTCTCATTCTGTTGTTTTCCTCTATTTCTTTGCATTGATCACTGAGGAAGGCTTTCTTATCTCTCCTTCCTATTCTTTGGAACTCCGCCTTCAAATGGGTATATCTTTCCTTTTCTCCTCTGCTTTTCGCTTCTCTTCTTTTCACAGCTATTTGTGAGGCCTCCTTAGACAACCATTTTGCCTTTTTGCATTTCTTTTTCTTGGGGATGGTCTTGATCACTGCCTCCTGTACAATGTCAAGAACCTCCATCCATGGTTCTTCAGGCATTCTGTCTATCAGATCTAATCCCTTGAATCTATTTGTTAGACAAGATGGTGGAGGAGTAGGATGGGAAACCACTTTCTCCCCCATAAATTCATCAAAAGATCATCTGAATGCTGAGCAACTTCCACAAAACAACTTCTGAACGCTGGTGGAAGACACCAGGCACGCAGAAAGGCAGCCTATTCTCTTTGAAAGGAGGAAGGACAAAAGTGAGACAAAAGAGTTAGGGACGGAGCCCTGTCCTGGGGAGGGAGTTGTGAAGGAGGAGGAGTTTCTACACAGTAGGAAACCCTATCACAGGTGGGTCTGTGGAGAGTTTTGGAATCTTAGAAGGCAAGATAAGCAGGAGAAAAATAAAACAGAAATTAATACACACCTAACTGCAACTGCGGAAAAGAGAACTTTGCTGCCAAAGGCTCTAACCTAACAACCTAATGTGCAGCCTGGCCTGCTCACAGAACAAAGGATTGAGCGAATACCAAAGGAGAGCTAGCCAGCTGCGGACCAGCTCATCCCCACCCAGAGGCAGAGAGGCAGGCTTGGGACAGCCAGAGCCCGAGGCATGGGGCTGCTGCAATCTCAGCCTCAAGAGGGCATCTTCTAACAAACTGCTCGCAGGCTTCCAGCTGCTAACCATGTCTTCCTGAGATCCTGGTCGTCGACATCTGCCAGGAGGGTTGCAGCCTGAGCTCACCTCTCCAGAGGAGACAGATGGCACACCCAGGACACCCAGCAGCAGGACTGGGGAGGTGAGTAAGACGCAAGATGCACCTGGGACAGTGCGCTCACCAAGCGCCTGGTGGCCCAAGCTGTTCAGACCTGGGAAGGGCACAAAACTCAGGCCCAACCCACAGAGACTGGGCCAGAACCGGGTCTGAGCGTCTCCTAAGGAGGGACGGGCCAGCAGCAGTCTGGGTGCAGCAGACCTGGGTGCGGCATAAGCCCTCTTGGAGGAGGTCACCATTAACCCCACCACAGGGCTGCCAGAACTTACACAGGACTGGGGAAACAGACTCTTGGAGGGCACAAACAATAACCGTGTGCACACCAGAACCCAGGAGAAAGGAACAGTGACCCCACAAGAGACTGACCCAGACAAGCCCATGAGTGTGCAGGAGTCTCCGGCAGAGGCGTGGGTCAGAGGTGGCCTGCTCCAGGGTCGGGGGCACTGAGGGCAGCAGTGCCTGCATGGGAACTTTTGAAGGAGGTCGCCATTATCTTCATTACCTCCACACAGTGTGGCCTCAGGTCAAGCATCAGGGAGGGAACACAGCCCTGCTCATCAATAGAAAAGTGGATTAAAGATTTACTGAACATGGCCTCTTTTTATGAACTTATCATGAACTCCTTATTGCCAAATTCAGACTTAAATTGAAGAAAGTAGTTGGAAAACCACTAGACCATTCAGGTCTAGTGGTATGTCTAGTCTACCATGTCAGGTCTAGTCATACCATTCAGGTATGATATAAATCAAATCCTAACAATCATACAGTGGAAGTGAGAAACAGATTTAAGGGACTAGATCTGATAGAGTTCCTAATGAACTATGGACAGAGGTTCGTGACATTGTACAGGAGACAGGGATTAAGACCATCCCCAAGAAAAAGAAATGCAAAAAGGCAAAATGGCTGTCTGAGGAGGCCTTACAAATAGCTGAGAAAAGAAGAGAAGTGAGCGAAAAGCAAAGGAGAGAAGGAAAGATATACCCATCTGAATGCAGAATTCCAAAGAACAGCAAGGAGAGATAAGAAAGTCTTCCTCAGTGATCAATGCAAAGAAATAGAGGAAAACAACAGAATGGGAAAGACTAGAGATCTCTTCAAGAAAACTAGAGATACCAAGGGAACATTTCATGCAAACACGCACTCAATAAAGGAAAGAAATGGTATGGACCTAACAGAAGCAGAAGATATTAAGAAGAGATGGCAAGAATACACAGAAGAACTGTACAAAAGAGATCTTCACGACCCAGATAATTACAGTGGCGTGATCACTCACCTAGAGCCAGACATCCTGGAATGTGAAGTCAAGTGGGCCTTAGGAATCATCACTACATAACAAAGCTAGTGGAGGTGATGGAATTCCAGTTGAGCTATTTCAAATCCTGAAAGATGATGCTGTGAAAGTGCTGCACACAATATGTCAGCAAATTTGGAAAACTCAGCAGTGGCCACAGGACTGGAAAAGGTCAGTTTTCATTCCAGTCCCAAAGAAAGGCAATGTCAAAGAATGCTCAAACTACCACACAATTGCACTCATCTCACACGCTAGCAAAGTAATGCTCAAAATTCTCCAAGCCAGGATTCAACAATACGTGAACCATGAACTTTTAGATGTTCAAGCTGGAATTAGAAAAGGCAGAGAAACCAGAGATCAAACTGCCAACATCCGCTGGATCATCAAAAGAGCAAGAGAGTTCCAGAAAGACATCCATTTCTGCTTTATCGACTATGCCAAAGCCTTTGACTGTGTGGATCACAGTAAACTGTGTAAAATTCTGAAAGAGATGGGAATACCAGACCACCTGACCTGCCTCTTGAGAAACCTGTATGCAGGTCAGGAAGCAACAGTTAGAACTGGACATGGAACAACAGACTGGTTCCAAATAGGAAAAGGAGTATGTCAAGGCTGTATATTGTCACCCTGCTTATTTTAACCTATATGCAGAGTACATCATGAGAAATGCTAGGCTGGATGAAGCACAAGCAGGAATCAAGAATTCCGGGAGAAATATCAATAACCTCAGATATGCAGATGATACCACCTTTATGGCAGAAAGTGAAGAAGAGATAAAGAGCCTCTTGATGAAAGTGAAAGAGGAGAGTGAAAACGCTGGCTTAAAGCTCAACATTCACTAAACAAAGATCATGGCATCTGGTCCCATCACTTCATGGCAAATAGATGGAGAAACAGTGGAATCAGTGAGAGACTTTATTTTGGGGGCTCCAAAATCACTGCAGATGGTGACTGCAGCCATGAAATAAAAAGACACTTATTCTTTGGAAGAAAAGTTATGACCAACCTAGACAGCATATTAAAAAGCAGAGACATTACTTTGCAACAAAGGTCCGTCTGGTCAAAGCTATGGTTTTTCCAACAGTCATGCATGGATGTGAGAGTTTGACTATAAAGAAAGCTAAGAGCTGAAGAATTGATGCTTTTGAACTGTGGTGTTGGAGAAGACACTGGAGGTCCCTTGGACTACAAGGAGATCCAACCAGTCCATCCTAAAGGAAATCAGTCCTGAGTGTTCATTGGAGGGACTAATGTGGAAGCTGAAACTCCAATACTTGGGCCACCTGATGCAAAGAGCTGACTCATTTGAAAAGACCCTGATGCTGGGAAAGACTGACGGCAAGAGGAGAAGGGGATGACAGAGGATGAGATGGTTGGATGGCATCACCAACTCAATGGACATGAGTTTGGGTAAACTCAGGGAGTTGGTGATGGACAGGGAGGCCTGGCGTGCTGCCGTCCATGGGGTCGCAAAGAGTCGGACACGACTGAGCGACTGAACTGAACATGGCCCCGCCCGTCAGAACAAGACCCAGTGTCACCCTCTGTCAGTCTCTCCCATCAGGAAGCTTCCATAAGCCTCTAATCCTTATCCATCAGAGGGCAGACAGAATGAAAACCACAATCACAGGAAATTAACCAAACTGATCACATGGACCACAGCCGTGTCCAGCTCAATCAAACTATGAGCCATGCTAGTTCAGAGGAGACCTTAACAGAGAGTTCCAAGTGGCTGCTACCTATGAACTCAAGTAGACACAAGAGTCAGTCCAGGTGCCAATGTTCATTTAGACCAGCTTATTTTATATTCATTCACACATCAAATGGATCCTGTCAGACTTAAGCTGTCACCATCATTAAGATCTGTAATTGACACTGGTAAGGAATATGGATGAAATGAGAAGGAAAATAAAGCTAAGTCACCACCAAGTCGGTTATACTGTGTCTCCCTTCCTCGGTTCCTATCAGTTGTACAAGAAACAGACAAAAGATGACATCAGCCTGTCACTGACCTTATGCAGAGCTGGAGCCAAGACCGGTACCAAGAACCCGTTGTAAATATAATTGACAAGCTGATTACGAATCAAGGGGTGAGCCACCTAAGAGAGAAACAAACAGGCATGAAAAAGACAATCTTTAGATCTTCTTAAAATCAAACCTGAATTCAAAAAGGAAATCCAAATGTTGGCCATTTATTTCATGGCTAAAGAATAATTCACACTTTAAACCACCATGTAATTTTTCCAGATGGTTTATTCCAATATAAATAAATAGCCTGGATTTCCAAATTTTAAAACTGGTAATTTAAAATTTCTGTTTGAAAAAAAAAACATATAATAAATAGACTGAATATGTACATGGGCTCATAAATGAAAGTCAACAAACTGGAATGGATAATTTTTGCTCCGTAACTTCATCTATGTCCTATCTCAACTTGTGACTAATTTAAAAAAATAACTGTCATAATGGACAGTTAAAGCCATTTATTTTGTCAGCAGAAAAAATTTCTCATTTTGAAATGCATTCTCTGATAAAATCATTTATACTGGGGAGGAAGGCATTTAGAAAATCTTTTCATAAAAAACAGATAATGCTAAAAAGCAAAAAACATTATCAGAGGTACAACATTTCCTATATTTAAGTTTCAAAATATATTTAGTATGGATAAGTCTTTTATAAATACAATCATCACCGGTATCTGTGGGGAATTGGTTCTGGGATGACCAGCCCCCATTGCCACAATATCCAAATCCGTGGACGCTTAAGTCTCTTATAAACAAAAATGGCATAGTATTTTCATATAATCTACATACATCTTCCCATATACTATAAATCATCTCAAATTACTTTATAATGGCTAATAACATACAAATAGTTGTAACTACAATATAAATGCTATGTAAAGAGTTGCTGATATACAGTAAATTCAAGTTTTGCCCATTGGAACTTTCTGGATTCTTCCGGAAATACTTTCAGATCTGTTGGTAGAATCCACAGCTGTGAAACCTGCAGGTGCAAAGGTCAACTGTAATCTTTTCAGTAGTACCCCCAAACAATAAATCTTAACAGTATATGGCTTCAGTCTCAGAATATGATATAAACTATATCATATCTCTGTTCTCAACCATGCTTGTTAGCTTTCTCTTTCTTTAAAAAAAAAAAAAACAGAGTCAAACAATAAAGTAAAAAGCAATTTCTAGGGAAGTGCGGCTAGATCTTTAAATTACTGATAATCTCCCTCTCTGTGTACATTTGGGGAGAAACTAATAGTTACATCATTTTTATTTCCACAAACTTCCACAAGAAAATGTTGATAGACTGTAATATTAAAGGAAAAAATAACTTAAGATGTAATCCATTTATCTTATACATAAATAAAATCTCCTTTGACTTAGCAATAAAAATGAGATGGGAACTGAAGTAATTTACTTGCATTTTCTTCCAGAAGCCATTTTTTCATTTGATAGATAAACAGATTATAACTAACATTTTTCCCCTTACAATCACCATAAAGAAATTTTATTTCTTAATAAATCTAGTATTAAGGTAATATTTGTCCTATATAGAAATAAAACATTTTTCAATGAAAACCTACTACACCCTTAAGTATATATACGATCTGATTTTTTATTGAAAACAGTAACAAGAAATTTGAAGGTAAAAATCTAATCAAAAAGCCAAATATACTTGAGTTCAGTGGCTGTTCTTCCCCCGAAGCAGGCCAATTTCAAAGCAAATTTAATTTGTGTTGCTAAGAAAATGCTTAACGTCTTCTAAATTCAATTGAGATAACAATATCCTTTATGTAGTATGCACAATTAAGCAAAATAAAGTGTTTTGCTTTGTAGACTCCCAAAAAGACCTTGAAGTAAAAATGGTATAACTTGGAGTACTTAGAAGCCTAAAAATATCTATTTAATGAGTCCGGCATTGAACTTATTTTTGATGGTTAAATGGATAATCAAAACAGAATTAACACTTTTTATAAGGAAGATAAAGAAAATGTACTCTTTTTTTTTTCTCAATTAAAACTTCCCCCAAACCTATAAACCAACATTTTTACTCATTCCAGGACATTCAACAGGCTTAAAGTAAAGCATCAGTGTTCCACAAACGCTGACTGCAGTAAGAGAAGGAACGCCACGTGATCAGCTGACTCAGCATATCGCCTGTGTCCTGAAAGGCCGTGGCGGAGCCTGGCCACTCTCACCTGAATGACGGCGTTGCAGAACTCCAGCGAGTTCATGAACTGGACGAGCGGCGGGAGCAGGAGCCAGTCGTCCCTCAGCAGGCAGTGCCACTCCTCGCCCTTCTCCTCCAGCTTGGTAGGCAACGAAGAGTACAGGCCGCTGAGCCCCGTCGCAAGCACCTGGGTTCAGAAACGAGAATGCAATCAGTACTTCCCCGGGGTTCTTCACCTGCAGCTGTGGCTCCCACTCGACGCCACTGCCGCTGGCCGGGACTGCACTTCAGGTAGCGAGGGGTTCCGCGAGAGAGGCTGTCAGCCTGGAGGGAACCCGGAAGGATGCTGGAAGGAGGCGGGAGGAGGAACGGATGCACCGGGTCCTCGGCTGATACCTCCACGGATACCACGGACACCACGGGCTGCTGATCTCTCCGGTGCCGGGCTGACGCTGGGCTGGGGTGCGGGGAGGGAGACAGATGCAAGATGAAGGAAACACGGTTAGGGCCCCCAGTGTGTGCAGGAGAGGAGCGAACTCAGCAACAACGTGTTCTGTCCCACGCCGCTGAGCGCACACCCAGACACGGCCCACACCCCTGTCCACCGGGAGCGCCTGGGACTCAGGCGGCGGGGCAGAAGGCGTCACAGGAGAAGCATGAGCGGCTGTATGAGAAAGATTCCGGCAGGCGTGGTCAAGGTCACGGCTGACACGCGCTGTTGCCACTCTAGAAGGCACGCTCATCTCATCTCCACAAAGTCTAGAAGAAACCCCGGGGGTCACGGGTCAGATAGATGTGACGACGGTATTTCAAACCGAGCTAGAGAGGTCTAAACTGAAGCATCGGCAGTGGGGAAAAAGGATTAAGAAACGGCAGGCTCACATGTCAGGCGGAGGGGAGGGTGCTCTAACTGAAATATCCACCAACCCAGTCTTAACCCAATGGCAGGAGGTTTACCTCCTCCCCCTGCTCTGTTCCTGGGTAACACTGACAGCTCTCGGCTTCAGTCACTGACGATCAATGAGAACTCCAAACTGTCATGTTTTCCAGCTTGGTCATTAAGAAAATGCTGATATGCCTTAAACCAAGACAGAAATGTACAAAATGCAGGAAAAACTAGCAGACACTCACTTATGCTGAGTGCCTGCTAGTTTTACCTCGTGGAAAACAGACCCAAGGAAAACAATGGATTTCACGGTACAGGGAAGTGATGCTAGCCAGCACCTTAGGGATGCCGACCTGGCAGGTGTGCAAAGGATGGACAGGAAGTGCCCAGAACAGAAGCAAGGGAGTGACCTGTGAAAGGTGCTGCTCTAGGGTAAACCTAAGGTTATAAGGAGCTCAAACGGGACAGAAGCATTCAAGAAAACAGCACCTTCTGAGTTAGACCCAGAGAAGACATAGCAAAGCATTCACCAATCTCACAGACTAATAAGAGATGAACAGGCAATTATAGGAGTGTAATAAATGCTCAGACTACATCATAGAAAATATGTCACTGTGGATAAACCCAGACTTGGAGTGTTAGGAGCACAAAATGTTCTCAGAAGAAGTGATACCCAAGAGCTGCTGAAGAATGAGTAACAGCCAGAAAAATTTCTTATTGAGCTTTATTATTTTTAAAAGTTCTTATATTGTTGGAAGCAAGAATATTTCGAGCAGAGGATGTAAAAAGCATGAAGGAGCAAAAAAAGATGGCACCTTCCGGGAATGAAGAGAACTGCAGTATTACTGGAGTGTAGAGTTACAGGTGGAAGGAGCCTGGCGAGGCATGCCTGAATCAGACCCTGCAGTATTCTGCAGGTCAGACACAGAACTGAAGGGACAAACCAGTGGAAAGCCCAGTAGACAGAGCTCTGGAGCCATCGCATGGAGATGAGACCTCAGTTCAGTTCAGTACAATTCAGTCACTCAGTCGTGTCCGAGTGTTTGCAATCCCATGGACTGCAGCACACAAAGCTTCCCTGTCCATCACCAACTCCCAGAGTTTGCTCAAACTCAAGTCTATTGAGGTGATGATGTTATCCAACCATCTCATCCTCTGTCATCCCCTTCTCCTCCTGCCATCAATCCTTCCCAGCATCAAAGTCTTTTCTAATGAGTCCATTCTTCACATCAGGTGGCCAAAGTATTGGAGTTTCAGCTTTAGCATCAGTCCTGCCAATGAATATTCAGGACTGATTTCCTTTAGGATAGACTGGTTGGATCTCCTTGCAGTCCAAGGGACTCTAAAGAGTCTTCTCTAACACCATAGTTCAAAAGCATCAATTCTTCGGTGCTCAGCTTTCTTTATAGTTCAACTCTCACATCCATACATGACTGCTGGAAACACCATAGCTTTGACTAGACTGACCTTTGTCAGAAAAGTACTGTCTCTGCTTTTTAATATGCTGTCTAGGTCATAACTTTTCTTCCAAGGAGTAAGCATCTTTTAATTTTATGGCTGCAGTCACCATCTGCAGTGATTTTGGAACCCAAGAAAAGAAAACCTTTCACTGTTTCCACTTTTTCCCTATCTATTTGCCATGAAGTGATGGGACCAAATGCCATGATCTTAGTTTTTTGAATGCTGAGTTTTAAGTCAACTTTTTCACTCTCCTCTTTCACTCTCATCAAGAGGCTCTTTAGTTCTTCTTCACTTTCTGCCATAAGGGTGGTGTCATCTGCATATATGAGGTTACTGATATTTCTCCCAGCAATCTTGATTCCCACTTGTGCTTCATCCAGTCCAACGTTTCTCATGATGTACTCTGCATAGAAGTTAAATAAGCAATACTTATTTAACATACAATATACACAGCCTTGACGTACTCTTTTCCCAATTTGGAACCAGTCTGTTGCTCCATGTCTGGTTCTGACTGTTACTTCTTGACCTGCATACAGATTTCTCAAGAAGCAGGTCAGGTGGTCTGGTATTCCCACCTCTTTCAGAATTTACCACAGTTTGCTGTGATCCACACAGTCAAAGGCTTTAGCCTAGTCAATAAAGCAGAAGTAGATGTCTTTCTGGAACTCTCTTGCTTTTTCAACAATCCAACGGATGTTGGCAATGTGATCTCTGGTTCCTCTGCCTTTTCTAAAACCAGCTTGAACATCTGGAAGTTCATGGTTCACATACTGTTGAAGCCTGGCTTGGAGAATTTTGAGCATTACTTTACTAGCACGTGAAATGAGTGCAACTGTGTGGTAGTTTGAGCATTCTTTGACATTGTCTTTCTTTGGGATTGGAATGAAAACTGACCTTTTCCAGTCCTGTGGCCACTGCTGAGTTTTCCAGATTTGCTGACATATTGAGTGAAGCACTTTCACAGCATTATCTGTTAGGAATTGAAATAGCTCTACTGGAATTCCATCACCTCCACTAGCTTTGTTTGTAGCGATGCTTTGTAAGGCCCACTTGACTTCACACTCCAGGATGTCTGGCTCTAGGTGAGTGATCGCACCATCATGATTATCTGGGTCATGAAGATCTTTTTTGTATAGTTCTTCTGTGTATTCTTGCCACCTCTTATTAATATTTTCTGCTTCTGTTAGGTCCGTACCATTTCTGCCCTTTATTGAGCCCATCGTTCGTGAAATGTTCCCTTGTATCTCTAATTTTCTTGAAGAGATCTCCAGTTTTTCCCATTCTGTTGTTTTCCTCTATTTCTTTGCATTGATCACTGAGGAAGGCTTTCTTATCTCTCCTTCCTCTTCTTTGGAATTCTGCATTCAAATGGGAATATCTTTCCTTTTCTCCTTTGCCTTTCACTTCTCTTCTTTTCTCAGCTGTTTGTAAGGCCTCCTCTGACAGCCATTTTGCCTTTTTGCTTTTCTTTTTCTTGAGGATGATCTTGATCACTGCCTCCTGTACAGTGTCACAAACCTCTGTCCATAGTTCTTCAGGCACTCTATCAGATCTAGTCCCTTGTCTATTTGTCATTCCCACTGTATAATCATAAGAGAGTAGACAGAATGAAAAGCACTATCACAGAAAACCAATCAAACTGATCACATGGACCACAGCATGGTCTAACTCAATGAAATTATGAGCCATTAGTGTAGGGCCACCCAAGATGGACAGGTCATGGTGGAGAGTTCTGACAAAACGTGGTCCACTGGAGAAGGCAATGGCAAACCACTTCAGTATTCTTGCCTTGAGAAACCCATGAACGGTATGAAAATACAAAAACATGAGACCTCAGGCTTTATACAGACCAGAGAGAGAAGGGAAGGGAGGTTCAGATGGTGAGCTATGACAATCCATGGTGCCTGACATCAGACAGGGAAAGCCAGGAGGTGTGGCTCCAGGTATGCCATACTTGGAAAAAGTATCTACCAACTGTCGCCTCCCCCTTTCCCCTGGCTTGTTCCCACAGCGCCCCCTGCAGCCCTCCGTGCAGCAACTGCCTTCCTTGCATCTGTCTTCTACATCTCCCCCGGCCTGACCAGTTCACTCCCGTCCACACTGCAGACTGGGGTGATCTGCCAGTCAGATCCTAGCAGTACTTTCCCTGAGTAACGCAGCCGTCAATAATACAGGGCAGACACGACCACCGGGCACCTGGAGGTCTGGGTGCAGAGAAACCGATGATGGACGCCGCAGGAAGGAGTGGGGGCGGGGCGGGGCACAGCAGCCACGGCTGAGTGTGTGAGGGCGGCAAGGGAAAGAGATGAGCCATTTCAACACTGGAAAATCAAAAGATCATATACACTTCTCTGTTCTGTTTCCTAGTGACCTTCATTCACTCATTCATTCAGTCTCTTATTTTTAAAAAAAAGTCGCTGAGCACCCTCAGGACAGGCACGATGTTAAGCGCAGGATATACAGCAGGCAACAAGACAGCCCGTGTATCTCTTTTTCAAAATCAGGGCATCTGCAGTCCCAAGAAAGAATGTCCCCTATTTAAAGCATTTAACTCCTTGTCAGCAAACCCAAACAAATCACTTTAATTCCTGTTTTGAATGTGACCCCAGTGAGCTCCTTGTTATAAATCAGAAACCTCTGGCAAGAGAGAACAGAGACCAAAAGTTCTCCTTGAAGGGAAATCTAATCTTGATGCCACATTTTTTAAATCAATTACATTTGCTAACTCATGCTAAATTAACCACAGAAGAAAGGCTTTAATTCTGCGTACTCCCGATTCCTTAACCACTTTGAGCCTTTGAAGATGAATTCATAAAGACAGGCTTAATTTGTCTGACTAA